ACCAAGGTATCATTTTGTCTTCTCAAGGGGTAGGTTTTAATTACTTTCCCTCAGCCTTGTTAAAAGGGCGCTTTAATAACATTCCCTATGGAGAAAAGATATGCCCCTGTGGGGAACAAATAGTTGAGTCCTTGGCACACACCATTCTAGAATGTAGCTTATATAGGTCTGAACGTATCCGTTACCTCTACCCAATAATGTGTAAATGTACTAGTATACCTTCCACAGGTATCTGACGTTTCTGCTGTCTGGAGAGAAACAACAACGCAGTCGGTGGCTAAGTTTTTATTCTCAGTTTTAAGAATTCATAAAATGTTATATTAAGACAACCATATGACTCAAGTTTTATATTGCTGATATGTTCTAACAACTTACTTATTCTGTGTATCTTATATAGTGTTTTTATCTTTGTATTTTTGGGTCTATGACTATATAATAATAAAACAAACAAACAAACAAGACAAGGTTTTGCCATGATTTACTGTTATGTTTTTATGCTGTTTAATGTATTCCACTATGTCTCCCACTGTATTTTATGGTATTTTGTTTTGCATTTTTAAATTTATTAATGTCATCATATTTTGTCATTCTGTTGTTTCTGTTTACTTGTTGTAAACCGCCCAGAGTGGCAGTATATAAATGGCTGCCAGATAGGTGGTATATAAATCAAATAAATAATAATAATAATATGATTTGTAAATGTAATTTTACAGGATTAAAGTGTGTGTGTAAAATTGGCCTTGCAAATTCATGTTTTCTTCTCATACATGTTAATTATTTGAATCCTAGGGTTCACTATGTAGGATACAATGTAACAAGACCAGAAGGAGAACTAGGGAAGTACAAGTCTATCCCTCATCACCACAGAGGAGAAGTTCAGTTCCTAGGACGGTAAGAAAAAATAAGATAGATTTCATTCTGAATATATGGTACTTTGTTAGTGAAGCAGAATTGATGTGCCACTACATATGTAATATTTTTTCACATTTTACATGTTTCTTAAGTTTTCTTTCATGGAGTTACATCACAGTTCTGTGTTTTCAGACGGAGAATTCTGTTAGACTTGAATTCCCTATCCATACAATACAATGACGCAATTATTGAGTAACAACTGAATGGATTGTTGGTGGGTCTCATATTACAGTGCACTCATGACTACCTTTCAGCTGGTTTTTAATACAGTATATGCTATTGTTATTGTTATTTGTGTTCATGACCTGTTTTTCTTCTACTGAACTTAAGCTAGCATACATGGCTTTACTTTCCTTTGTTTTCTCCTTAAAACAGCCCTGTAAAGCAGCGATCCTCAACCCCTGGTCCCTGGCCTGGTCCCTGGCCTGGGCCAGACCGGGCCGCCGAGAGAGACCTCCCCCTGCCCCCCCGTGCGCACTCACCCCTGCACCGTCAAATGGTAGCACGGCGCTCATGCAGGTGTGCACCCATCCGTGCAAGAGCGAGCGAGCGCTTGTTTGCACATGTGCGTGAACACAGGGGATGCCCCGCCTTCCCCAGCCGGTCCACGGACCAGAAAAGGTTGGGGAGCACTGCTGTAAAGGACATCAAGCTGTGCGACAATAACTATCCCAGGGTCACTCACTGCTTTTTGTAGTGAATCCTGGGGCATGAATCTCCTAAATTCCAGTACACTGCAGAACCACTGATCTCTGCCATACAGCCACAGAGTGTGGCTTAGAGCTGGATGCAGCCTGTGGGTTCCCCACATGAGTGATATGATTTCATTTATTTCTTTGGGAAACAAGAATCCATGAAGCACAGTTTTCTGGGGGATTAAAGAATGAGATATATTTGATGCTACTGCATATATATTTTTCAAGATGTGACAAATAAGAACTAAGTAGCATTTATTCATTTGTGTTAGCAAATTCATAGCTTTGAGCTACAGTCTTAGATGTGCTTACCTGAGAGCAAGCGCTTCTGAACTCAGTAGGCATACATCTTACTCTGAGTTGGCACCTAAGCTGTGCATGGAAAGTGTGCTGGGTCCATATCAGCATGTTATCCAAGACCTGAAGAGATTTCCATGTAACTTCGTTACTTTTAAACATGTTTATAGTTACAAATTATTCATGTGCTTGTTTTGAAAAGTATCTCTTTTGTTTTATCCGATTGAACATGGCATTCTATAGCCTTTCTCAATGTTCCATTTTTTTCTCTCCACAGATATAAACTGTTAAGATATTCTCGAGAGCGTCAATACATTGATGGATTAAATAATCTATTATATACACCAACCATTCTTGTCAGCAAACTCTATACAAATATAACAGTAAACCTTATACCTGAATTAGCTCCTGTTCAAGATTATTGATGGAATAGCAGAATAAATGACTGGACCAATAATTTCTAACAGTGGAAAATCCTGATTTGGCGCTAGAAAGTGAAAGACCTTACATCAGGTGTTTCTTAAGACAACAAATGTCAGTTGATTACAGTGTATGACCCTGTGACATTTTGGAAAAGAAATCCTAGTAGCTGCTCCTTAAAATGTTTACATGATGAAAAAAGAAATGTTCAGACTTGTTTGATCACATTTGCTCAACTGAAACCACCGACCACCACTATAGCTAACAAATCTTTTCTTTGTTTAGAATCCAGGAGAAACAACTTCTCCTTGGAGTTGTGCATTCAGCAAAGTGTAATTAAAATGAAAGTTTTTATATTTTCTACATTATGTGAATATCTGTTATATCTCTTATCTCTGCATGCGCTTAAGAGTATTTGTTTTTAGTCTCTAAGATTTTGGCATGGCGTTCAAGCCGTTGATTCTAGACAAAGCCTTTAACAGTTTTGTAATGAAGGACCTATTTCTAAATGTTAGCTAGTTATGACTGTAAATTGTTACACTAGTTTTGAGCTACAGGATGCTCATATACCTCCTATATACATGATTCTACCATTGATGTTTGTGGGAATATTTTAATGTTTACTCTATTTATTACCAGGGCAATGCCATGACTCCCTGATAATTCTTGAAATACCATTGTTTATGCATATTGCATGTATATTACAAAAATCAATCCATCAAGGATATTGCATTTCATTATGGTCTTTACCACGTGCCAATAGTGCTGGTGTGAGATTTATGTCTTGTCAAACAATTAATTAAGGATTTTGATTGCTGTTTCATAGACTTGTTTTTAAAAAAAGGAATTTCCTTCCTTTCAGAATCAAAAGATCAAAACACTTATCTTCTTTAGAAGATAATACATAGATATGAGTGGCTGTACTAGAAAGATTCACATAATTGCCTTTGGTCTCACTTTATTCTTATTAAAGTCAATAACGCTGGAGTTAGCATATGGAGATACCTTGAAACACCTACAGGACCTCTTACCTAAAAGAGAATCTGTGCACTTTCTGCAACAAACTAAGAATCCTTCCTTTATGACCTTCTTACTGTTTTATGGACTTGTTGTAATCTTGTTTCTTTGTGTCCAGCACATACAGCTGGGTGTGTATGTTTACCAATACTTGTGGAATGGGTAGAGATTACCACAAAGTATTTAATTTTAATTGAGCACTAACTTAATATTTCTGTTTTTTTCTGTTAATACCATACAATTTCTGTTGAAAATAGAGAGACAGGAATTACAGGTATTGAATGTGATTATTTTGCTGACTGTTGCCATGATTCAGCAAAATGAGGACCAAAGAACTGTTTTTGCCCTGATAACAGAATGGGGAGTGTGTCAATAAAGAGTTATGACAACAACTAACAGAATAGAAATAAAAACACCAATCTTGATTAGTTTCTCAGCAAATGTTTGAGATATAAAATGCTTAAAGTATCAGCATAACATTTTATTGCACACTACTCATGATTAGATGTTAGGAGAAACATCTATCATTCCAAATATTTTGCAGAATTGTATATATTTACTTTTAAATGTTTAAGCATCTTACAGAGATAAAAATGTGCAGAACTTTTCGATAAACGTGTAATAATAAGGTATGGCAAAATCTAGTGTGCAGAAAGTCTTTAGATCTAATTCTTGGTTTTCACGAGATTTGGTCTCTCTCTCAACATTAATTTATGACCTTTTGCAGAGCTAAAACAATCACCATAAAAAACATCTTACCATGTACTGTTTTCATTTAACTATGGCCTTAGTATTTGAATGAAAAGGTTTAACTTAAATGTTGCCCAATTCTTGCATAACTTTTATAAAGTGTCTCTATTTAATATGCCTTTGGGCATAATATTACTTTTTTTTAGCCCAACAGAAAATGAACCCACAAAATTTGATATGCAATTTTTTTTGCTTCATTATACTATTATATAGTAGATTTTGCCATGTGCCTTTAAAGTAGCTTATGAATGGAACTGGGAGCATTCTTGACCCATGACCTGTACCATTGACAAACTGAATTTGCTCTTTTATTTCTGGCAATTTGTAATTTTAAAAACCCTGTAATTTAGAATGCAGTTTTCAAGGCTAAAAGAGGAATGTATAATTACACCAAAGCAAGAGCAAACAGTTAATTAAATCTGCTTGGAAAATTAATGTTAACTTCCTCCATATTTTAGGCTAAAATGGGAGACCACTGACATGTCTATAATCACTTCTCCCTTTGCCTTAGATCCCCAAGTCTATTTTTGAATTTAGTAAGTATTTATATTTTAATGATTTATGTATAAACTGTATGAATTCTTTTTAAAAAATTAATACTTACCACACATATGAGGAAGTAAACCTAACATTATTTCAACTTTCCAAGTGGGAAATGAGATGCTTATTAAATGAACTGAAACAATTTCTGCGGATTGTAAGAAATCATGCTATGATCCATTATTTTGTTCATTAAAATATTTGTACTTTTAAAATTCTTTGTCTCTTGAAATACAGTGCTTTACACCCCATCATATTGTGTTCTTTTTAGCAGTGGAGGCTTATTTTGTTCTTTTGTGAGTTTGATATAAGGTGAAAAAATGCCACAATCTTATGTTATTATGGTGTCAGTTTTCATGGACTACAGACCACCTCATCAGATTAAACACTTTGTTGCTTTTGGGCCATGAATTAATATGGCTTCCTTTTTGGAAATCAATTTAAGGCAAATTCTATAGTGTTGTCACTTGTTAATAGGATGAACTTTAATGGACAGTACATTTCTCTTTTCTTTTTAAAGAAAATAGTTTTGAGGAGCTCATGGTTTTAGAATTTTGTATAAGAAGTTATTTCAATATTCTTATAACTTTTTTCATTCATGTTTACTTAGTTCTGAGCTAACTCCCCTGCATGTTAGAAAACTACTGTGCCCTTAATTATTAATTATACAGTCCAAATACTAAGTTATGAATCAATCCTCTGAATGCATATACCTAGCTATTGTTAAATACCCTAGGGCAGTGGTCCCCAACCCTGGGCCTCCAGATGTTCTTGGACTACAACTCCCAGAAGCCTTCACCACCACCTCTGCTGGCCAGGATTTCTGGGAGTTGTAGTCCAAGAGCATCTGGAGGCCCAAGGTTGGGGACCACTGCCCTAGGGTACCTTTAACCCTCAGTCACATGCATAAAAACATAGATTGAATGACTTTTGATGTTACTTTTTTACCTCATGGAAATTCCAGTGTGTCAAGTTTAGCAGTAGGGTTAGAGTCACATTGATGTTTTGTGTACTTCTAAATCCCATGGAAGATTTCACCATTCTACTGAAAACCAGAATATTTCACTTGGCATTGTGGTTTACCAACAGGACTTACAGCCCATTGGTTGGATCTCTATGGATTGTCTTGTATACTCAGAGATGGGTACCTGTGACCTTCCAGATATTTTTGGGGTATAGAACCTTGGTCAGCACTAGCCAGCATAGTTTATGATAAAGGTTTATGGGAGTTGCAGTTAAAACAATTGAAGGATGATGGTAGCTCTGATTCAGTGCCCTCCTTCCTTTGGTATGTGTCTTCAGCCCAACTTGTGTTATTCTATAGCTATTTCTCATCTACAAACACCCAACGTACACATGAAAGTACATGTGAAAGTGCATGAGAAGCCCTGTAGAGGTATGGGCTGAGCAAGGAAGTGGTTCAGATAGTTACTAAACTAGCAGTCACTGGATGTGTTATCAGTTTGATGTTAAATATGAAATGGGACTCAGTTCTTTCCTATCATCATCATGGCTCTATTTCTGTTTGTGTTTCCCTTGTTTCAAAAAACAATAGTCTTTTGTTTCTCTCTCTCTCTCTCTCACACACACACACACACACACACACACAAGAGGCTGGAACTGTTTAGAGGAGGAGCATTTATTCATGTATTTCATAAGAGGTCTGAGAAAGATGTCAGTGCTAGATCCTACTGCAGCAAACAAGCCATTGATTATACAAATTGACTGTCTCCTTTTAAAATAATCCTACAAAAGTGGAACAGCAGAGAGAGCTTTGTGAGAATAACATACAGTCTCATTCCTTTGGGTCACTGACAACAGCTGTGGTTGAATAAGAAAAGGGACTGAGAAGAGCAGCAATAGTGTAATGCCGATGGCCAGAATCATTAGCAGTGAAAACCACCTGCAACACGAAAAGGGAATAGAGTGTCAAAAGATCCGCAGATAATACAGAATGTCACTAATAGCCTTACATTAAAAATTGATTTGTAATACGTTTTTCTGATCTAGAAACCGTCTGAGGGCTTGTATGCATATGTGGAAGCCTAGCATCCTTGGATTACTCAATACATTTCAGTATAAGAAAAGTACATATGACTAGGAAAGAAAACGTATCAGTTGGCCTCCTCCGTTAAAATGGTTAGGAATGCAAGTGTGGGAGTGTTATTTTCACATGAGAGTTTATACTACAAGTCATCACATTCAGATGGCTCTAAGAAACCATGTGCCCCCCACAAGCTATTATGGCCTCTGGTGCCCCCTGGTGCCCACCTTTCCTATCAAAAAAGGTGAATTACAACTTTTGGATGTGAATGCAGCAGCAGCATTTTAAGTAAATTGCACAGGCACCTGGCACTGTTTAACACCAACATTTGTTCATTTTCTAAAAATATAAAATGGCCTTCTAGCCATTTCTGTGCATGCGCTGTCTCTGGAATTTGGGGTAGTCTCTGTGTTCACCAGTGGGTTCTCAGGGAAAGAACATTGGCTCCTTGATCTATTAAAACTTCCCCTCCACTGTGTTTAGATTTCAGTTAATTTAAGTTAATAAAAACAGCAGAAGACGGTCACACAATGAATCCACAGCACACTGTACTCTTGTTTTTTAAATGCCAAATAACATTTTGAGAGTTAAGTCTTGCATCACTATTCATTGTCACTGATCAGTGGAAGACATATGTTGTCACACAGTGATTGAAAGCAAGTTTCCTGGCTTCCACAAATACATAGCTGTCTAACATAACTATGTTTTTGAGGAACATGTTGAAATGTCTTGCAATGATTTGCTTTGTAATGAAGCTGTATATAGAAGAGAATGCTTGCAAGTAGCAATCTTTGATGAATAAGAAAAATATAAAGTGAACCTGTTGCAGGAGCTTCCCTAACATCTCCCATCCTTGGAGAAAGAAAGTTTCCTGTACTATTCATGTATTGTTACACCAAGGCCTGTTTTGCCTATATTTTAGGCACTGGGGCCTTCTATATATGTGTACCAGTCTGTGCATTGAGTGAAACTTGGAAGCTTACAATGGCTAAGCAATAGAGGTGGGCTTTTATTTTTTATGAAATTAAAAAAAAATCACACTTCATAAAATGTAAATGTAAGACAGGGTCTATTGGATGAGTATGTGAAAATGCAATTCATAGTTCTAAATATTGTGAACATCCAATATCCTTAAGAGAAAACTGAATGAGACATGTATGCTGAAGCCCCAATACATGCTAACCATAGAGAATGCCTGCACATTTGAAAGTGGCTGATTTCCTAAATATTGTGAACATCCAATATCCTTAAGAGAAAACTGAATGGGACGTGTTTGGGAAATCAACCACTTTCAAATGTGCAGGCATTCTCTATGGTTAGCATGTATTGGGGCTTCAGCATACACCCCCCCCCAACATTTCTGCACAGTGGATAAGCTTCCTCTCCTTTGCACAGTATTGACTGGAGCAGCTTACCCTGTATCATCATTGCCTTTTTGGAATCAAAGTATAAGTGATGAAAAACTCTTTTCTTTAATAACCAAATTGCATTATATGTGAAAAAAACTAGTTAATATGGTATGTGAAGAAATATTTCCAAATACTTACATCAGCATATTCATGAAATGGAGAGACGCCAAGGGCCTTCCAGTATGAGCTGGTGTCAAACTCCACCTTATACAAACCTTCTACAAACAGTTCATCTGTTGTGAGCTCATGGATTTCACCAAATTCATTTGTTTTCCTAGAATATAAATGTGCAAAAGTTACAAAGACAGTTATCTTTACAAAGCACAAGTGATATATTTACTCTGATTCAGTTCCAGGGGTTGGATCCAGACATACCCGTTCACATCATTGGTCATGAATAGATAGGTTTCAGTAGGTCTACTCTTAAGCAGGATTAAATCTGGATCAACCCCCATGTGTATAAACGGACACTCACATTTCATTATATACATTCCTTTGCTTGTGCATTGATCCCAGTTGAAGTGAATGGGGAAACTGAATCATGACAGACATATTCTTTGTTCATGTTTAAGTGCTTGTAGGGCATTAAGTCCGAGTTAAAGGAAAATGCTAATCTTTCTGTAATGGTCACTGAAGAAAAGTAGGCTGTATGTGAATTAAGCAGAAATACTGGGATTTAGGATAATCTAGGTTGCAGTGCATAACCATTTCCCTGTCTAAGGAAGTCAGCTGCATTGGATCATGCTGTTATTAGGTTGCATTGACCTGGAAATTTGTCCTTACTTCCCTGAGTGAACAGAGCTCTGAAAGTGTATGGATTTCAAGATTGTTTCCTATTTATTTCCCTAAATAACACAACATTCAACCTCCTCTTTTAAACATGCTTCACATGCCGCTTTCAGGGGGAGCAGAAGTAAATGACTAGTTTCAACAGATCTCATTGGGCTGAAGAGCTAACGAGTGGGGGGGGGAGGCAGCATGAGGGGGGGAGGCATAGTAACCTGATGAGATGAGGGAAGCGGCAGTAGTGATGTCCATACATTGTGGAAGCCCAGTGTGCTGAAGATTAAAGGGATGAGACTGTAAATATTCCCTTGTTAGTAGAGGAGCACTAGTCTATGACATCAAATAAGTTCTGAGTATGAGTAAAATGTTTGGAGAAAGGCGTACCATAAGCTTGCTTGCCTCATCCTCTTCTTTTCCTATATCTAAGAGAAACAGCTTGACTACGTATGTCTAGAACGCATGCCTTTTTATGACAGAGTGACTGAAGGATACAGCCCACTCTGAAATAGTGCCTTCAGAATGGACAGAATTACTGCAAATATCCCTTTCCTTGGCCATTCTCAGTATGGTTACTGTGCAATTCTGAGAACTCCTGGATAAAATGGATTATCTGCATCCATTTCAATCTTCTGTCAGCACAGAACTTGTCTTGGGTGGCCTGACTGTATTGCTCAGCTTGAAGGCATTGATGCACTTAGGTTTCATCATCTGCTGAATGAGCTCACCTGGAGATTGGGGGTAGGATCTAACAGGCAGTTGATACTCTGTCTTTTCATCAAATTGAATACATATTGTAATGAAGCATGAGGCCCAAAAATGATACCCAGTCTAAACAAGAGAGACTTACTTATTAATGAGCATTTCATCCATCTGAGGGGATAGATCTCAGCCTGTGAATGGGGCTGTACTCTTGCCAAAGGATTAGATTTATTGGGTCAGTGTGCTGACTGATCCAACTTGGTTGCAACTGGCCTTATAACAAAGGACACCTTTGGATAGGCAACATAGTAGGTTGCAACTAGAGTAGGCCCATTTGAATCAAGGGAATTTATGGTGGAGTTGACTGATCAAATCCCCACTGATTTATTTGGCAACCTCTGCTTGCAGCTCACTATGCTATGCAACAGGATTTCAGCCAAATTTTTAAAATTTGAGATACACCTGCAGAATGTTTCGGTCTACAGATATACAGCACATGTAACGTGGGCCCTGAATATCAATTGTGTTTTGGGATAGGATCCTTGCTCTGCATCTTTCCAGGCACATTGTTAGGCCCAGACAAATGTCGCCTTTATGCCAAAACTAATTTTCAGGGCCTAGAAGCTATTGCCATATGTACAATTAGACATATTAGCATATGGATCCTGAACTTTTCAAGTTCCTAGCAATGCACCTGCATCCTTCCTTAATGCTTTCTACAAATTCATAACCTATTCTGTTTTTCATGTTGTTTGTGAATTACCATGAAAAAACATCATTTGACTCTGAGGCTGAATTACAACTACCATCAACTGTGCAATATACCAGTAGCCCTACAGCCTATCTACCAACTAAACTTGGGATACCTCTGAGTTCTCATAAGGAATTTGCAGCACTTGGATCAACTGTAGTTACCAAAGCTCTTGGGATAATACTGAGTGGCAGAGGTGAGAGCCTGTAATAAATTCTAGTTGTGGACGTTTTATACAAGATATTGTTCAGAATGGTGGGATACAGAAGTAGTATAGATACGATATATAATTTCGTTTTCGATGGTGGGATACAGAAGTAGCATAGATACGATATATAATTTTCATAACAATTAGTCAGAGTTCTCTCTACCTCCTGTGCTCTTCAACAAGTATGACATGCCATCTGGTAACATAGGTGGCTTGTCACGCTTGCTAAAGAGCAAAAGGGGTTGGGGTAGATGCCACAGATTTTCTATGACCTTTTGACATACTAACATACTAACTTGGACATTTAAGTGTTTATCTGAAGGATCTATCACTACTTACCTGTGTATCATAACCCATAAATATTGTAACAAAATGGCTGTGAACATATAAATACCCTTGGACTTTTGTTTCCTAGCATAGTGGGACTCCAATTTTTTTTGTTTGAGTAGAGTAATTGGTGTGGTACAAAATACAGTAGTGGGGATTGATTTGCATTCATGAGATGTAAGATTGTTGGGATATAAGATGAAATGTTGGGAACAGCTGGTTTATGGTAGGTGACCTATCAGTTGTTGTTTTTTAAACAGTCTTCACTCCTATGATAATGGCTGGAGAGATAGTTTTCCTAATAGTGGGAACCGATGGCTCTTGCCCTGTGAAAATACTGATAATCTGTACATTTCTGTAAAGATAATATGGATTCTTAGAAATGACATTTTGTTTACATTACAGCATGGCACGGATAGTTTATGCAATCCGGCAGACTGAGACTCAACAAGCCCCATACATTTTTCCAAATTCTTTGGATGCAGTACAACTTACCCACTAGCAAACTCCTTCCAAGTACCATCCTCTGCTTTTTTGGAAACTTTTACTACTAGGCTAGTGGCTGGGCTTCCTCGAACCGCATCAAGGACCTTCACCATAAGCGGACACTTAGAGTCAATGGAACCATGGGTTACCTTGAGAAAGCAGAAGAAAATACCTATGAGCATATTTATGGTGCAAGGCCTATTTTTCATTCTCAATTTCTACAGAGTTTAGCTAAAAAAACCCAAAACAACTTGGCTAGAACGAGGGATTAGTACAAGTAACATTTACATAAACCCAGACACAGTATGCAGCCCTAAAATTTCGCCTATTCATTAAGGTTACTTAAAAGTGAACACAAAAGAAAATTCTTTTAATGTATAAATTTTTGTTGAGTTTACTGAGTTGATCTTATTAGCTGAGGACTTCTTTTTCATGCTGGTTTGAAGGTTGCTCCTTAGTAAGGTTTATTTATGAATATTTATGCAGCACAATGTTCTTAATAGCATTGTGCCATGGATATTTAATTATCTGCTTAATGATACAAATCATGGAGAATCAAACATCATCATTCCTTGTAAATAGCAGTAAAAATGAACACCCCCCCCTTGTATAATGTTAGAAGATGAATTGATTTACCACCTTCATTGGCTGTGCTAAGTTATGTGATAGCTGAGACAAGATATTTGCCAAAGTGCTAGATCTGAAATGCTTTTAAATAAAATTATTATATAGATAATTAAAGCTGCAGAAGTACAGAATAGAACCAAAAGAGGGAGATGATAGAGTATTCAAAGAGAGAAAGGAATCTGAGCATCATCTTTTTGTGAATACACTTGTATATTTGATAGGTGTGTATTTAATGCCATTACTTAGCAATCATCTTTAAAAATAGACAACAGATGTACACAATATATTTAATTTTCCACTAATGACAAAATTTTCTATGTTGTACAATACAAGGTTTTGAAATGCATGGACAAGTTTGCCAACTATCTTGAAAACTACTATGGTTTGCAATTCTATATAGAGAGAGCTATATATCAGATAGCCTATCTTTATTTTTTTCAGCATTTTCCACCATTTTCCAGTATGACTGATTACCAGTTTCACAAGTGGAATATGTCTCTAAAGTGGGCCTTACACTTCCAATATGAAAGAAATGAATGACTATGCAGCCATTCCAAGATATGGAAAATGTATAAGGAATCAGCATATCTGTCCATGACACAGATTTAACAATACACTTGTGAAAATATTGCAATTTCTCTGCCTGTATTAGACTTTGTGTCACTAGCCCTGCCTGTACTACTTACCAGTGGTGCAGCTTCGGTGAGATATACCATAGCAGCCAAGCAAAGGAGAAGTGAGGAGGAGGCCATTGTGAAGTCAATGGTTGAGCCTCTGCCAGCAGCTAGAGGCCAGTGGGATTTGGGTTTTTATACTCCATCCTGCTACAAAACAGCCTACTTATCAGGTGCCCATATGACTCTAAACCTGCTGATTCTGATTATTTACTTAGTAGGCATCCAGCTGTGCAGTTCTTCCATCCATTGGCCTCTTGCAGAAATCCATGGGATTATAGCCTGTGGAAGGAAACACAACACAGGCCCTGGGAGTCAGAGAATCAGTAACTCACACAAACATGAACCTTGCCTGTTGGCCTTAGCCTCTTAGATATTGTAAGTGGAAAAAATGTTAAGCAATTGCTGTTTGCTTAGATTTTACTGACTTTGCTTAGATTATCTGCAATGCAACAACTTTACAGACATGTTACACTGTGACTTCCTTTGCTTGTGGCAAAATGCAGTGTGGAATAATTCTTACTTTCTTACATTCATGTTACCTGTTATGGCTGATATGGTAGATCCTGCTTGATCTGGAGAAACGAGTAACGTCACACTTCTCAACTGACACATTTTCGCACCATAGTATTCTGTAATTCTTCTCAGGGTTCAGTGATACAAGGTATTTTGCCTTGGTTGTTTTGTACCTTAATATTCTCACTGGGAAGGAGACCAAAGATCCTGATATTGCCTGCCCAATGAACAATTATTTATTAACTGGTGGTTCCTTGTTTTACCACCAACTGTACTTGAGCATGGGAATTTTGACTTTTTCTCTCTGTGACTCCAAATTGATTAATTAGCAATGTTTCTGTTGCTTCCTTCCCTTGGCACGCTTACGTTTTAAAAGAAAATGGATCTTTCTAAGATCAGTTGCAAGCAGGTGGAAAGGGAATTTCAGTGCCTTGAAAATCCCCAGCTCCTGATTTTTTTTTGTCTGTAGGGTAGATAATGATGCTATTGAAGGCAGAAGAAGAAACTGATTATTTCCTTCTTTCTTATTTATTGGCTCTGATTTATTTATTTGTTTGTTTGTTTGTTTGTTTGTTTGTTTATTTAGAGTTCATTGATTAAAACTTGCAACCTGTATTTTCTCTCCTAACAATGGAGCCTTCAAGATAGTAGCTTCATGAATCATAAACTGCTTGGTGATACTAACTTGGTAATACTAAGCCGCCTAGAGTGGTCTAATATGATCAGATAGGCGGGATAGAAATCAAATCAAATAAATAAATAAATAAATAAATAAACTACTTCCCCATATCACTAGTATCCTCTCACCACCATCACCATTGCCTATTATTTCGGAGGCAGTTTTCTGCTCATGAAGAACAAGTCCAGTGTCGCTGTGATCAATAGCATTAATCCCATCATTCACTAGAATCTGGCTGTGGTCTCCCAAACACACTGAGTACGTCTTGACAGAGCAGTCACTATAATAATGTCAGACACCTTCTTCCCACATTAATTAATTAGGTTTGTATCCCATCCATCTAGACTATGTCTACACTGGGCAGCTTACAGCAAAACCATGAAAAACAACATATAAAGAATTAAAACAACAATTTAAATCAATAATATTAGTGGCTTTCAAGATGGAAAAACAAAATGGGTTTTAGGATAGAACATAAAATCAAGTAACGACTGGAGGGAAGGCCTGCCTAAAGAGCCAGGTCTTAAGTTGGCTCTTAAAAACACCCAGCGAGGGTACCGGGTGAATTTCTGACGGGAGTTTGTTCCAAAGTCGAGGGGCCACTGCCGAGAAGGCCCAGTTTCTTGTTCTTTCTTTCCAGGCCTCCCTTGGTGTTAGGCTCCTCAACCGCCTTTCCTGGCTGTATTGAGTGATTTGAGTAGAGCTAGGTGGGAGAAGGTATCCTTGGATAATCTTCCATGTTGGAGACAGATGATAATCTACACCTACATGCATTTGTGAACATAGCATTATTAAGATGAACAACATACATTCTCTTGCATAATTGATTTAGATTCTAAAGTAATTTAAATCAATTAAAACATCTTTATCTTCATTGTTATTTCTTTTTTCTAGACCCTAACCCAAGCTACCTATCACATAATGGCTACAATCCTGTTGTACAACTTTTATAATGCACTGCTGTGATGATTTCATCAGATGCAGTCATTTGGGAGGTAATTAAGTTTCCTATTTGTACCCTGCTCTCCAGGTACCAGGAGAGTGTCATCGAAACTACCAACATGAATATGACCAAACTCTGGAAGGCAGTGTAAGGCAGGAGGGCCTGGCATGCTCTGGTCCATGGGGTCATGAAGCGTGAGACATGACTTAACAACTCAACAACAACAACAACAACTCCAGGTATCAGGAATTCCCAGAGATCCCTTTCATTCTTTGAAAGCCTGTAGGAACTGGAGAACTAGGGAAGGAACTTGTTAATGCCCCAAAATCGCCACTGCCAGTGCTGGTCCTGTTGTCTGTGGCTGAGCATGTAACCTGTCAGACAATAATACTGTTATTAGCCACGCTAAAGACATTATTGATGACTGCTCCATTAACCATTATGCTGTTGTTTGAATTAACAAGTGGCTCTCTAAATTTCTTGATCTTGGAGTAAACAATGAAAAGCATCTTTGTACAATAGTTGTATCGCTACATCCTGTACCTTCTGATCTTCAACTTTCTCTGTAGCTTTTGGTTGCCAATGCAGGTTGCCAATTATATTAATACCTTTTGAATCAAGATCTGTGTTTACCAAGACTCCATCAATAACTTGACATATTAGACTTTCCCAAAGACTTTGTGTATATGTCACCTGTTCTTTTTTTAAAAATATATTCTGACATACCTTTGGTAAAAGATGGTCAAGACCATGTTCAGTGTTTAAGAGAAACAAACATGCTGGCAGAACAGCTGCAACAAAGATTTTTCTGCTGGCGATTGAGCCAAATCTTTGCATGAGGAAAGTGAAAGAGGCATTGTGGACTATAGCAGATGAAACTAGACATCAGCATAATAGAGGAGTTAAACTAAGCAACTGGTTTTTGGTAATGGAGTTGAAATGGTAGGTGCTCCAAATCAAATTAGCCGCCTAGAGTGGTCTTAACTGACTAGATAGGCGGGATATA